GCACAGTCGTATCGAAAACAGTGGAAGAGAAAATGTATCTTTTCTGGTGGAACAGCAGTGAGTGCAGTTTTCATTATATGTTCTGTACCTGTAGATGTGGGCTGCTAACTTTGTTTCCATACTTCCCAGCATTTTTAATAGTTCATAGTGTGTTGATAAGCATGACATTTTCCAGTTTTCAACGAAATTGTTTGTAATCATAGTTTTAAGAGTACCTTTGCGTGCTGTTATGTGGAGTTGGTAGCGAATGTTGTATTGTGCATTGCTTTACCAAGCTCATCACTATTTCGTTGTGTGTGACTCCGCAGTGTGCGGGTACCCACTGAACGGGTATGTTATAACCTTGAGAGTGGTGTTCATGTAGGAGGGTGAGGCAAGGAAATACACGTTCCCTGCAGGTTTTCGAGCGATATTTACCTTAGACTCTAAGGTAAATATCGCTTAGTATCCATGCTCTATTTTTTCGAATCTCTACAAATTGTATTATTGCCCTCTGTCAGTGTGTCGCTTAATACAGGGATCTGATGAATCTCATATACTTCAGAAATAAATACAAAAATGTTATTAGGTAGTTTTCAGCCCATTATTTTGAGACGGAAGCGAGAATTTCACAACGAAACCGTCACAGATGGTGTATTGTTGAGGATTTGTAATCTGTATGTATATGTCTTGTATCGAGGCGAAGGCTGTGCATTGTAGATGTAAAATTGGAAACTCGAGTTTCACTTGGTGCTGTTTTTGGATTGTCATTATCAAGGTGAGCTATTGAATTCGGAGTAATGTAGTTCCACGGGAAATAGGCTGAACTGCTGGTTAATTTTCACAGTTTTGAAAGATGTGTAGGTGGGAAGAGATATTATGTAGGACCCTTTTTATAAAGGGTTGTAGGTAGGGGGAAACATAAGGGTTCATAAAGATAATGACAGGATTTGCCTTGGAACGGTATAGATGAGTCTGATGTGTTGAAACGCGGAATGAGAGGTAGTTCACATACATGTCTCTTATTGTGGCTAAGCTTACGAGCGTTGTGTCTCTTTGAAAACCCATTAGAGGTGAGGGACGTAAGCCCCGCAAATAATTCACATGACATTGTTTTGTATTGTCTTCAATTTTGGGGGTCTGATGCTGCTGCTGATACATACGCTTGGCAGCAGTAGCCATTTTGGCTATGATGTATGTAGCGTAGAGTTGGAGAATGATTTTGTGATGCATTTTCCATAATGTACCAGTTTGGGCTTTGAGTATTGTAAACTTTGACCTTGTTGGAGGTGTGTGATGTGATCTTTTCAGATGAGGCGAATCAAGATATATTCCCAGGTATTTGTGTACCCTTTCATAATTCATACAGATCTCAGTAATAATTGTAGGTAGTTGCTGAATTCGTTTTTTTTTTGAAGACTTGAAGAAAGTTGCAGGTTTCATTCATGCATTCAGTTATTAGATGTTTTAGTGCGCTGTATAGTTGTTGTAGTGGACAATAAAGTGTTGTCAAAGTAATATCATAATCATAATTCGAGATGAGTAATGGATGTGTGTTTGGAGTGTCGCAAAGAAATATCATGAAGAAGGTCGGGTTTAGAATTGATTCTTGTGGTACACCAGGTTTATGTGGATGTGATGAGAGAAACTGTCTTGTATTATTATTATTATTATTATTATTATTATTATTATTATGAAAACTTTGGAGGTTCTGTCGGATCGTCACCTTGTTTAATCCGCTACTGCTAAAGAAAAATGCTCCCATTGTGGACTGCCTTAGTAAAACCAATTGAACCTAGAACTAACAATTTTTTATGGGCTTATAGTACACAATAGAATTCAAAATAGTAAAAAATCTGAATTCATATCTTTTTTATTTTATAATCATGTATTTATAGTTATATTTTGAGATTCTTCAGAATGCGGACAGATTAATCTTCAACTTTCTAATAGTAGTCAACAAAGAAAGAAAAAAGACCTCCATAGTGCTCTGTCTGATGTTTTCTCGTATTATCCTTCAGAGACGATACTTGAATTAGCATAACTCAAAATAAGCATGGCATCCGTCGTCTACGACGTCAAACCTTCAAGCCAGTGTAACCACGATCTTAAAGTCAGTTTTATTTAAACCATTCCTGATGTTAACATGAGGGAGCCTCCTCGAACCACCTCAAACTTTCTACATTGATCCATCATAATTAGAAGAAAATTAGGATTGCTGTTGGAGTGTGTTGGTGCCGATTTGTCAGAGTGTATTTAAAAAAAAAAACGCAGTATTTTTTTTTTTTTTTTTGCGTAAAATAAATGGAATATGCCTCTTCTAAACTGATTCAGCCTATAAAAAAGAGAGATACCTAGTGGACTGAGTCTTTGTGGGTACAAATTTGCTAATTTATTAACATGGTTAATGAACCTGGATTTTTGGAGGTCTGGTAGGCTTCCAACTTTTAATGCTGGTGTTTTTTTTTTTCCTTAAAGGGAGCTTTGTATAGATTCTGGGTTTTGATCTTGCCAGTTTATTAAAAAAAAATGCCTCTTATGGCCAGCGCCCCAGCGGCTTGGTCCATGACCAGGCTTCCCGGTGGATCAGGGCTTGATCAACCAGGCTGTTACTGCTGGCCGCACACAAAACCGACGTATGAACCACAGCCCGGCTGGTCAGGTACTGACTGACTTTAGGTGTCTCTTGAAGACAACCAGGAGTCTATTGGTAATTCCACTTATGTATGCAGGAAGGCAATTGAACAGTCATGGGCCCCTGACACTTATTGTGTTGTCTCTTAGTGTACTCGTGGTGCCTCTGGCCCCTGATTTTCATTGGGGGGATGTTGCACCGCCTGCCGAGTCTTTTGCTTTCGTAGGGAGTGATTTCCGTGTGCAGATTTGGGATTAATCCCTTTAGGATTTTCCAAGTGTATTTTATGATGCATCTTTCTTGCCTGCGTTCCAGGCTGTGGGTCCCAAATTGTTATTTGATTGAAAATTGGAGAATTGAAATGTTGACTTTCATTCGATAATTTGTCAATGCCTCATCCAATCGGCTTCAAACTTTAAACTCCGACTACTTAAAAATGTAACTTCTGAGCGGCCTCCGACTTAAAGTGCTGGTGTATTTTGAGATATTGACCCCTCAAGGAAGGTTCCTTGACGCTGGTGAGGGGCTCAAGATCTAGGGAATTGGATCTGTGCTCCAGTTCCCTGAATTAAGCCTGAATACCTTCCATATCCCGCCACAGGCGCTGTATAATCTTATGGGTTTAGCGCTTCCCCTTGATTATAATAATAATAATAATAATAATAATAATAATTGAGATACTGACATCTGTGACCTAACTAGAAATCGCTAGTGTATCTTGGTGAATCTGAGTGAAAGGTTTGTCTGTCTTCAAGCAGGCACTGACCAGTCTGGCTGTGGCTCGTACGTTGGATTGCATGTAGTCAGCAGTAACAGCCTTGTTGATCAGGCTTTGATCCACCATGAGGCCTGGTCACCGACCGGGCCGCGGGGGCGTTGACCCCCGAAACTCTCTCCAGGTAAACTCCAGGTTATGGGTTGTGATACTTTCATATCCTTATTGATGAAATTAGGATATTAATTTTCACGCGATAACTTGTTACTAGCTCTTCTGAGTGTTGGTTTCAGGGCAGGAGGCAGGAGGCCAGGTCTGTGACTGGGCCGCGGGGGCGCTGACCCCGGAAATCGCCTACAGGTAATCACGTAGAAATCTTCAGCGCTGGTTTTTAACATCATTAGAAACTTATGTTGCACTCTGTATTATTTTTTTTGCCTTCAGTGAGGTATTGGGAGCTGGACTTTTGGGATACGGGCATATTTTTCGGGATTACGCAGCAACCAAAAAGTTTCTAACAAAAAAAATATAGTTTTTTAAACTTTTCCAGTATTGATTTTACCTTAACGATTAAAAACTGCTCAATAAGTGATCATAATAATGAACATATGTAAACAAACTAACAGAATATATGAATTTTCACCATAATTTGAAAATACATCATTGACGCCATTGCTGCACCATGGAGCCCTATTGCAAGATGGCAGAACACACCTCTGTTCATAGCCTTACTATATCCCGTGTTTAGTGCAAGGAATGCATCTATTGCAATTTTTAGGTTAGTTTAAAAGTGGGTAACCGTTGGCTTGAAATATCTGCGGGGTGTCGTCAAGCCAGCCGATCTAGCACACCATTGATTAATATTAACCAGAGAATAATATTGACCTTGCTAAAGTAAGCCATTTTGCTCTTATGTTAAGGGATAATAGATGAAGTAAATAAATTAAAATATTTAAAAAAAAATATCGTATATTTTGCATGGAAAAAAAAGTGATAAATACCACGAAAATCGTGGAAATATATCTGTGGAGTGTCGTAGAGAAGACTTCGGTTTTTCCCTGGATTAAACGGAATAATTTATTTCTCGTCATATAACACGTACTAAAATGTAACAAAAATATACAAAAATACCCTAGTGTATATTCTATTTTTTAGATATAATTTAGAGTCTTGGAAATACGAAATATATCCATAATAAATTTTTTCCCGACCTCCTACCCTGACGCCGAAAATATCCATCAAATAACTTCAGCCTTCACCAATTATTTATTTTACAGCTAGAGACCTCCCCAACCGGCCAAAAACCATTTTAATAATATATTAGGAGCATTAAGCTACTTTTTAAAAATAACACGAGGTCATTTGAGAAAGGGAGTTATGGTGTAAATAATAAGAGAAAATATTTTGAAGCTGGGCTCGCTGGGTGATGCCGCCCGCCAGGACCCGCGCGCGGCAAGCTTGCCTCCACAGCCCCACTAGACGCCTTACCACCAAGTTAACTCCACTCACTGCGTGAGTAAATCTCCATTTTTCCCCCTATAACACTGCTAATTTCGCCTTGTAATTATTTCCCCATGTAGTCCCGATGTTAATGCATGTGTGCGAGGTGGTTACGGTGGTCGGGCGTTGGTGTTTGAGGGGGAATTTAAGGGAAGATTGAAGAGTAGTGTCAGCCGGGGTGGAGGTAACACAGCCGGTGATGGCGGCTGTATCACGACGCTTCTTCCCTCGCGCGCCAACATCGAATCTCCCGCCAAAGTATCCGACGTTTTAGCGCGCAGTACAAGAAGTTACTTTAAACATTCTCTTCTAAATCATTAAAGTGAGCGCGGGCGTGGATTTTTTGCGTTTTGAATTTTCAATTTCTTGGCGTACGTTTAGAAAATGGCGCCGAGAAGTGATCGTCATGGGTGGAAGTGCTTATCGCTATTTTTATGAGTCCTTGGGTTACTTCGATCATGTAAATTGTAAACTTTGTTATGGAAAAAATGTATTGTCTTTAATCTGATGTATTCCAGTTTTCGTTACGCTTCTAAAAGTCAGTCTAGTTCCGAGATATTTATGCATTGTCTTACTAGTACAGGAAACTTAGAAGCACTAAACCTGTATGGGTCATTGAGCACTTTTCTTACAGGTAGGTCTACATAATCCTACGGGTTTAGTGCTCCCCCTTGATTATTATAATCTTACAAGTAGGGATTTAACACTCGTTCGTAAAATGGCTCAGATTTAACTGAATATTCTTTCGTTAAATTGTTTTTGCGGGTCTGAAACTGGTGATAGTGCCAGGGAATGGGAGAAGGGTGCCATTAATAAAGAGTATATAAATTCCTTGCATGAAGGTCCTTCGCTGGTCTTCAGTTACCTCTTAAAGGGTTGCAACTTCATAACTCAAATTACTAGGGATTGAGAGCCAGAACTAAGCACTTCAGTAGGCCTATGGCCTCAGCAAGGCAGGCCTACTCAGTCCCACTCTTACCGCTTTTGATTAAAAGCATTTGCTTTAGACGCTACTTGTTCTTGAAGATTCCCATTACAGGACATTATTATAATCAAGGGGGAAGCGCTAAACCCGGAGGATTATACAGGCCCTTTGTTTACATATAAAATAAATATAAAAAAATAGGGCCGAATTTATCAGTGTCTGTAGGTTAATGTAGACGAGTAAGACCCATGTGCAACACTTCATATCTTGGCCAGTGTTGTCTACCTCTAACTTGTCAACATTGTATATCATTTGTGATAGGCTTATGTAGTCTGGGAGGCACTGATGCTGTTCAGCATTTTTTTTTTATACCTTAATGGGTGTGGTGCTTGTTTTCAAATGTATCATATTGCTGTGTAGTGCACTTAAGTAAGTTTAAAAATTTTCATATTCATTATTGATTTTGAAAGGTAATGTTTTGATATAACCTAGAATGTATGTACCTAGAATTGTCACTGTGAGACCTGTAACTGTTTTATATACTGAGCTACATACAGCATAAAAAAATAATTCATTTTATTATATAGCAATATTGATATCCAGTTTCTGCTGATCTGAAACTAGTAATATACATGTCTTCTGTAGACTAAAGTTTGTTTGGGTACAGTTACACTACCATTATAATATCTCGAGATAAAATGTTTGGTCTTTTGAAGATATTTAAATTGTTTGCAAGTGCATGCATACCATATAGTGTGTACAATAATTTTTACATAATTAAAATTTCAGAATATAAACAATGGCAGAAGACACTCCAGTAGACAGTCCCAAGCGCAAGCGTGGACGTCCCCCAAAGCCAGAAAGTGAGAAGGTTGTTGCTACTAAACGCAAATCCACTGAAGCTGATGGTGCTAGCACTCCAAAGAGAGGCAGAGGTCGCCCAAAGGGTAGCAAAAACAAAGGGAAGAAGGGTGCCACAGGAAAAGGCTCGGTATGATTTTGACTTTCTGAACTAGTATCTTAATTATGCAAAAGTACATTTGAGGCTATACAAAATCTAAGTAGGATGTTCAATATACATAGTTTATGGTTGCACAACACAACAAAAATTGAACTCATTTTTTTATAGGTAATTTTTATTGAAAATTGTCTTGTGCCTTAGGGACCAAAGATGTACATACAAACTTTTTTTCATGTAAATAAATATCCTGGCTAAGGATAAAGATGTTCTTTAAGATTTCTAGAATTTTGTTTGCTCAAATTAAAATAGCTGATATTCTTAAAATGTTAATTAAAACTTGATTACTTTAGCTACATTCTTAACTGCTTGCTTGTCAGGGTGATGACTCATTTTTTGGCTACAGGAGTAGTTATGCTCATGGCATCCATTTTTTGGTGCTTACTGTCACTTTAAGAACTGTTAGCTCTTCTTTTTAACCCCTTGTGTTCCCTTCTACCAGTTTGGAGAAAATATTTTCTGGTATTGACCCCCCCACCCCTTTATAATGTTATGCATCCCCCAATTTGTAATGGTATTCTGGCACTGCTTCCTCCATTATGGTATTAAGTGTTTTGAATGAGTTGGTGCTAGCAAGTTTTTTTTTTTTTAATTGGAAATCTCCTCTTTCTCCCCCCCCCCCCCCCCAGTTAAGTGGTATGCCAAAAAGAACCATATCTGACATTCAGCTCCCTGCTGTGATAGCTTCTTTTTCTACATTTTCATCCTTAATTCTGCTAGTTCTTAATTATATTTGACAAAGCAGGTAGGTTGGCATTGATAACTATTACCTCTGTATTATAGTCCTTGCTCCAGTTTGCACTTTTAATATTTTCCAAGCCTTTTATATGATTTTCTAAAACTGCACACTTGTCATTAAAGACTGTTGAGTGATCAGCCCATCCGTAAGATGCAAAGTCTTGCTGCAGTTTCTTTCCTAATGCCTTTATTATCTTAATGTGCATGAGGGGTTCCTGTCTTCATCTGATTGTACCTGTGAAACCCTTAATTTTCCTTGCTATTATTTATTTAATCCACACCCATCATCCTAGATACTAAATATATTTTACCAAAGTAATACACTCCTGGTTCATATTTTCAACATTTTTTTTTTCTTTCCTACTGCTTTTCCCTTCCATTGTGTTGGGGGAAATTGGTTACTTCCTTTTGGCCACTTAAATGGACAAGTGATACAAATGCTTTGTGGTTGTTAGATCACTGATTTTATAAGCTGGTTCTCTTCCAGATCTATCATACTTGTGCCTTCAGAGGCATAAGTTGTACACCATTCTTTATACAATCTTGTGCCTGGTTTATGCTACTCTGTGTATAGCCAAATGTTTTTACGTCACATTTGATTTGATGTTACCAGCTACCTCATCTCTACACCTGACCTGTCTTGGCTTGCTTTTCTTTCCTCTCACTCCCCAAATTGTGGGTTACCTGTGAATTTTCACTTGTGGTTTTGACTTGTTCTAGATAAGTTTGCAATGAATGAGGGAGGCTGAATAAAAAAAATATGAATGTACTGCATACAGACATAGCCCCACTCCACAAAGGGGGGCAGTAAAGCAACAGCAAAGAACTACAGACCGATAGCACTAACATCCCATATCATAAAAATCTTTGAAAGGGTCCTAAGAAGCAAGATCACCACCCATCTAGAAACCCATCAGTTACACAACCCAGGGCAACATGGGTTTAGAACAGGTCGCTCCTGTCTGTCTCAACTATTGGATCACTACGACAAGGTCCTAGATGCACTAGAAGACGAAAAGAATGCAGATGTAATATATACAGACTTTGCAAAAGCCTTCGACAAGTGTGACCATGGCGTAATAGCGCACAAAATGCGTGCTAAAGGATAACAGGAAAGTCGGTCGATGGATCTATAATTTTCCTCACTAACAGAACACAGTAGTTGTCAACAGAGTAAAGTCCAAGGCAGCTACAGTGAAAAGCTGTTCCACAAGGCACAGTACTCCTCCCCATCTTGTTCCTCCTCATATCCGACATAGACAAGGATGTCAGCCACAGCACGTCTTCCTTTGCAGATGACACCCTAAATCTGCATGACAGTGTCTTCCTTTGCAGACACTGCAAGGCTCCAGGCGGAAATCACCCAAATCTTTCAGGGGGCTGCAGGAAAAAAATTATGAAGTTAAATGAGAAAATTTCAACTCTCAGATATGGTAAACACGAGAAATTAAATCTTCATCAGAGTAACAAAACAAATTCTGCCACAAAAAAAGAGCGAAACCCCAACGTAAAAGACCTGGGAGTGATCATGTGGGAGGATCTCACTTTCAAGGCCCATAACATTGTATCAATCGCATCTGCTAGAAAAATGACAGGATGGATAATGGGAACCTTCAAAACTAGGGAGGCCCAAAGCCCATGATGACTCTTCAGGTCACTTGTTCTATCTAGGCTGGAATTTTGCTGCACACTAACAGCACCTTTCAAGGCAGGTGAAATTGCTGACCTAGGAAATGTACAGAAACCTTCACGGCGCGCATAACGGAGAAAAAACCACCTCAATTACGGGGAGCGCTTGAGGTTCCAAAACCCTGTATTCCCTGGAACGCAGGCGGGAGAGATCCCATGATTATATACACTGGAAAATCCTAGAGGGACTAGTACTGAACTTGCACATGAAATTCATTAAACTACAAACCCAAAAGACTTGGCAGACGAGGCAACATCCCCCAATGAAAAGCGGGGGTGTCACTAGCACGTTAAGAGACCATACAATAAGTCAGGGGCCCCGAGACTCTTCACCTTCCTCCCAGCATACATAAGGGGGATTACCAACAGACCCCTGGCAGTCTTCAAGCTGGCACTGGACAAGCACCTCAATCGGTTCCTGACCAGCCGGCTGTGGCTCGTACTTTGGTTTTTGCGTGCAGCCAGCATTAACACCCTGGTTGATCAGGCTCTGATCCACCAGGAGGCCTGGTCACAGACCGGGCTGCAGGGGCGTTGACCCCCGGAACTCTCTCCAGGTAAACTCCAGTGGCTAAATGCTATGGGTAAGTGGCTTCAACTGCAGGTTCAAGCCCCCACCTGTGGTATTGTTTATTCAGCAATGTGCAAATGGTACAAAACATTACATCATTGCATCTTGAAGGCATTTAATAAGATTGATAATAAAATCTAACTACTAGACAAATGGAGATAATGAGCATTTGGCACTGTGAAAAGTAACAAATAATTGCTTAGTCTGGTGGGACATTAAAGATTGTGTAAATTTTAAGAGTAAAATTAGACATTGGCATTAATCCCCATCTCCTTTTTTACAACTTACCACATCACTGTTCTATCTTATTTTTTTATAAACTAACCATAACTTGTCCTCAATAATTCTACCTCACTTTAAGAAATACTCAATTGCCCAATTTTATTCTAAAATCCCTATTATTGCCCAATTTTGCTTTAAACTATATTGACCAAACTTATTGTAAACTTCTTTTATTGACCATTTTTATTCTATACTTTTTTAAACTAGTATTTTCAACTACAACTTTTATATTATCATGTCTACCATCTTACTAGCATTTTTATTTTTATTTTTTATTATTCTTTTGCTACCTTAACTTGCGTATTTTATCCTGTCAATTTAAATCTAGTTATACTCTTAATTCTTGTAAACAAGATTAAACTCGGTTGTACTATAGCTCATTCTGCTCAATACATAGCCCAATACCAAATTCACTATTAGACCATAGTGCAATTACTAGTGAGAGACTGGTGCTATTTTTAATTTGTATTTTTATATTAGATTAAACCTAGTTGTACTATAGTTCATTCTAGCTCAAAACAGACTACAAATGTCATTATATTAGACCTTAGTCCCAATTAAAAGGGGAGAGTCTTGTTCTATTTTTAATTTGTATTTTTATATTACTGGGTTTATCCCTAGTTGTACTTTAGCTCATTCCGCACAACACAGACAACATCAACTTCATTATTTTGTACTAGTGACTATACTCTATATGACCAAAATACTCTAGCTAAATACTTGTCCAAATTTCCCCACCACTACAGAAAATCAGTACTAAAACCCAACACACAACTCAGGATATAAAATAACCATAATTTAAACCTAGAAGATTTGATCACTTTGCCCTGATCTAAACCTCCATAATCTGACACCCAATAAAAACCCTTTTGGAAAGTAATGCCTTTATTACACAGCATCACAAGCCAGCACTATTCTAAACAATGCAAAAAGGGTCTATCAGTACTTAACTACAACATCAGGTCCTTAAGCAAACACTATGATGACCTCCTGGCACTCCTTGAATCACTAAAGACACCCTTCTCCTGCATTATTCTTACCGAGACCTGGCTTAAGCAGGACACAATAGATATCTACCCTCTACCAGGATACACAGCAATTCACAACTGCAGACAAACCCAAGTTGGGGGTGGTTATTGAAATCTATTACTCTAACCAATTATCTTGTATTAGCACCACTTGCTTTAGTGATAAATATGGGGAAAACTTTTTTGCTAATTTTACTGTAAAAAAACTTAAGACACCTATAACAATCGGTGCCATTTACCGGATACCTCGCACAAACATCCCAAATTTCAGCGAGAAATTAGTCACTAATAACAAACAGACAAATGAATAAGCACCACCTTCTTAGCTGGAGACTTCAACAACAACCTTGGCATACTAGATGATCAGCCTGTAACTGATTTCATCAACAATATGAACAAACTTCTCGTACCAACTATAACTAAACCAACCAGGCTTACTGAGACAAATGCAACCATAATAGACCACATATGGACCAAATATACTAGCCCCCCTTAAATCAGGGATAATCACAGATAGCACTACAGACCACTACCCTACCTTCCTCCTGACAAACATTAGTAAACCACTTGAATACAACAAAGTCTCATTTAGACTCCATGACGAGGCCTCAATAAGGAAGTTCACAGCTGACCTAGAGACTGTTGACTGGCCTACAGAAAATTTTCCAAGGCCAATGGTATTGATGACTGGACAGACATTTTTCTTAACAAATTACTTAGACTATACAACAAACATTGTCCTATAAAAGCGAAACATCACAAACAAACGGCTTGGTTGCCCATGGCTAACCAGCACCATTCTGAAATCCATTGACAAGAAACACCCAAAATGAAAAGCAATATAGACAGGGCTTAATAAAACAATATCTTAACACTTCATCAGTTCTCACCAAAGTAATAAAGAAAGCCAAGCAACTATACTACTCCAGTAGATTCACAGACACTAGAGGAGATATAAAAAAGACCTGGAAAACACACACTCAGATTCTAGGGACCCACAAACTGAAAAAAAACCAAGAATATTGTCCTAACTAAACATAATGAAACACACTACATCCCACTGACACAGCTACCAAGATAAAGACTTCTCTCAAACCATAGGATCTAATTCGCCAATAAAATCCCCCATACCAATGCCCATGCCAGGGACTACCTAGATGGGCATTTCCCAATTCCTTCTATCTTGCACCAACTGAGCCCACGGAAGTCACCGAGATTATAAAGTCACTTAAAATAACTCGGGGGGGGGGGGGGGAATCTGTCTCGTGTTTCCCCCCATGACTGTAAAGCGAGCGGCCCATGTCCTTTCGCATGCTAAATTTTGTTACTTTTTAACAATCACTAGAAACTAGCACCTTCCCGAAACTACCCAAGATGGCAAGGGTTACCCAATACATAAAGGTTGGGGACCCTACAGACTTAAACAACTATAGGCCAATATCAAAATTACCCTTTCTATTCAAAATCTTTGAGAAACTCGTGCACAGGAGACTGATTCTTTATAACGGCACAAAACATCCTCAACCCCTGCCAAATTTTGGGTTCGGAAAAAATAAAACACTAATGATGCAATCATAAAAATGCTAGATCTGCTTTACACAGCATTGGAAAATAAGGAATACCACTAGGAATTTTTTTTGATCTAAGAAAAGCCCTTTTACACATTAGACCACGGCCCTCCTACCCACAAACTTGACCATTACGGTATAAGAGGCCATGCGCTTGCTTATTTCAAATCTCACCTTACTAATAGGTATCAGTATGTCGCCATTAAAGACACAGCTCAACAACACGGCCACTTGATACTGGAGTTCCGCAGGAAGTGTCCTTGGTCCCTGCTCTTCCTTATATACATCAATGATCTTCCAAACGTATCCCACACCTGAAACCCATTCTCTTTTCTGACGACACGACTTATGTCATCTTTTCCCCCCTAATTTTTGCCACCCTCAACACCCCTTGTTACGAGGAGCTGATCAAAATATCGACTTGGATGACAGCCAATAAACTTACCTTAACACTGACAAAAACCCACTATATTATGTTTTGGTAGCAGAGCAGGAGATGCACAAAATTAACATTAAAATCGACAACACACTAATTACAAACATGAGGGCAAATTTCCCAGGCCTATACCTTGACAACAACCTGAATTTCAGCACCCTATCCAACACACAACCAAAAAGTATCCAAAACGGTTTTGGGGTCCCCCTCCAAGAACGATACTACGTGCCACAAAATGCCCTTCTCACACTATAACCACTCGCTTATTTATCCATACCTCACTATGCTATTTGTGCTTGGGGGTCAACTGCAGCAACACACCTAAAGCCAATAATACCCAACAAAAAACCACAGTAAGAATCACTAAATCCCATCCCTGCAACACACCCCCCCACTCTTCATAGATCTTAAACTTTCTCCCTGTTTTGTACATCCACACTTACTACTGTGCAGTCTACATCTACAGGACCTTAAACTCCAATATCAACCTTGACCTAAAATGCTTTCTTGATAGTTGACAACCCACAGGCATAACACCAGACACAAACATCTCTACGACATTCCCCATGTCCGACTAAACCTTTACAAAAATTCAATGTATGTCAAAGGCCCTAAGATCTGGAACACCCTACCTGAGAACTCTAGAACTGCACACACATTCATCACCTTCAAAACTACCATTAGAAAACATCTCATCTCCCTGATACACCCCGTCAACTAACTACACGGATACCACCTGGTGGTTCACACCCATTTGACCATAAACAGAAATATTAATCTCAATCTTAAAATAATGAATCCTGTGATACCCCAATACTGAAACTATGTACTGTGCCAAAACAAAAGCATTCACATTGCTAAACTCACAAACTAGTATTTAGTCACTTAGCCATAATACCAACTTGCCTCATATTTTGTAATATTTTAAAATTAAGAATTAAACTAAAGTCTGCCCGAAATGCCTAGCCATGCTAGGTGTTCTAGTGGTACACTCTGTAATCATTATTTTACTACATGTAAACCACACAATAACCAAATTCTGTAAACTCAGCATTGTAATCCTTATAGAGAATAAACTATGAATAATATAGGGATATGGAGGGGAAGGGGACATTATTGGAACTGTTTCTTCATACAATATTTCAGAATAGCTACTGCTAATCCAAAGAAAGTGGTAAATGTGATGAGTAAATAGTGCCTGGGTGGACAGAGTAGTCATTGAAATATTTTACAGGGAAAGCGTGGGCGTCCTGCAAAGAATGCTGCCAAGGAAGATGCCTCTGAAGAATCTGCTGAAGAAGCAGAGTAAATTTTAGTGAAATTAAAGGCCACCATCACACCCCTACATTGGCTGCCTTTAAAATACGGATTTAAACCTTATCCATCATAGGATACATTTGATATACTGTACAATCTGCCTGCAGTGCATGGTAACTGGAATAATTTTTCCAGTGGTCATATATAAGTGTTAGAGCAGCTCATGTATTCCCTAGTAGTATTTCATGTGCTTCAGTAATGCCTAAATGTCTTTGTACTTCCAAATAGCTTAAAAGTACCTATTTTTCTATATTTACATCAGTAAAGGCTTCTTGAGTAGGAATTAGTTAAGGAACAGCAGGGGTATGGTGGATAAGGTATTGTAATTGATTCTTTTTATAAGTGTCTGTATGGTGTTTTAAAGTAGCAGTATTTGAATGAATTTTAATACCATTTTCTCTTCAAGTACACAATGGGTACATTAAAAATATTTTTTAAGTTGAGAGTATTTTAAATTTTGGCATTGCGATCCTGTGGAAATGAGATCATGATGAAAATGTTCCCTATATCAGTCTTAATGCAATCAAGTCTTTGAATAGATGCAGAATGCTCATAAAGGTTACTTATATATCTTTGAGGTAAAGGTTCATTAGGGCCCAATGTGCCCAATTTTATTAGATTTTTAAATTATTCGGGGTAAAATTTATCCTTTTTCATATTAAAAAAAAAACTTTATTAAAAAAAAAGTTAATACCTCCATCTTTGTCTTGGAAAATTTGTTTTTTAATTTTCACCGTCATTAGATTGCATTTATTAAAGCCATTTTTGAGCCCGTTTTCCCTCAAGTTTGAGCTGTGAGCATTAAATTTTGGCCTGGGCGGATAATTCTCATATGAATGTGCAACTGCCCCATGCAGTGAAAGATGAGAAGTTTAAAATAGTGACTTTCCCTGAAGACTGGAAAGGGCCCCCCCCCTTTTCCTCTCTAGGTCTTTTTTATGGATTTTACGTCAATTCAATTATTGGGATGCCCTTTAAAAAAAATAAAACCGGGGGGCTTTTAATTTTTAAAAAAAAAATTTTTTTCAAAAAATTTGTTTTAAATCCCTTGATTTTTTAAATTTATCGGGGGGGAAAAGGCAAGTGTTAATAAGGGGGGGGGGAGGGAGGTTGGTTAAATTCGGGGAACGGACACCCCAATTTCCTAATAAAACCCCTACCCAAAAAAAAAAGTGATTGGGAAATTTGTAATTTGGCTGATTTCACAGTTCAGAATATTCAAATTTCTAAATAGGGTCCTGAATAAACAATGCAGGCATTCCTGGCACTAAAATAACATTTTACTGTTAAGCCATATTGTAATGTATAAATATTCATGCACACAGACCCACCAGCTGATGTGTATTGGATGTGTGATGTGATTTGTTTACTCTTGAACATCGGGAAAAATAAATATTTCTTCTACTTTGAGCTCGGTTTCAAGCTATTTTCACTAAAACCAATCAAAATCATCTCTATTTCTGTAATATATCTTCCATTCTATCAAACGAGACCAAGAAACTGCGAATGCAACTGTAAAAACCATAGGAAAATGCACCATGAACTCACTTTAATCCAAAAAGTAGCATTTTTTTTCCCTCGTTATGCACTGTGCTGCAGGATTTACATGTGGTGTACACTTGCCACATAGATGCACTCTCATATCAAGGCCCAAATTTACCACTCACAGTTTATGAGTGAGCTGAGCTCGTGATGTACTACGCTTGGACCCTGGCTTCAAAGCCGTAGAACTGAGATGGACCCTCAAAGGGTTAAAAAAAAAAAAAAAAAAAAAAAAAGTTTGATCTCTGACAAGATGTTAGTCTGGGCCTACAGACATTGATACAATGTTATCTTTTTGTATCCTTGCAGTTGCCTGGATGTTTACATTTTCTACTTTCTCACTCAGTATGTTAAAGCAGTGCTGTTGGCTATGCCAATATTATATAATTATGGGGAGCGCTAAACCTTGGATTACGCGCATGTGGGGGTTATGGAGCATTCAGGCTCAATCGGGGAACTTGGAGGGACAGATCCAATCCCTAGTCAAGAGCCCCTCACCAGCATCAAGGAACCTCCCTTGAGGGGACTATGCCCCAAAATACCCTCCCCACATAGATTATGCATCTCCAGAGTACATGTTTAGGAATTTTCAGTAATTTGAATGCTTTTCTGATTCAGGGCTGTAAATGATCTGCCCTGAAAAAGAACAGTCAACATTAAATAGTACTTGAGGGCATCATTATTTTCCCTGTTTGGAAACTTCAGTATCCACCCATCATTTTCCTGGCTACTGACATTTGCCTTGTTTAAAAGATAGGTCAATTAACATTACACCCAGGACTTAATGTTCCCTTTTCAGCTAATTTTTATTTTCCCATATCTAAAAGTCCTTTCAACATCTTCCCTTCCCTTTCGGGGTTTTTGTTTCAAAACCAGTTTTAACCTTTTTTGGAAAGTGAAAAACTTCCATTTTCTTTCGGGCCCAAATGTCCCGGGGTTGAAGGGTTTTTTTTTTATTTTCGGCTAACCCACTTTCTACTTTCAAATTATACATACCCTCATTCTTTATTTTGTAATTCTTACTTTGATTAGGGTTGGCACTAGATGCTAATCTTTGGGAATGGTCATTTTTTTGAAAAACGAACCAAAATATTGGGAATTTTAAACAAAATTTGTAATTTGGATTTACCAGCTGGAAGCAGGCTTTCTGGTTTTTAAACAAAGGGCGCCACTTTTGAGCCCTCTGACCACATGGGCCGTTTTTCGGTACAAAATCGGTAAGATTTCAGGGTTTTAATCTTAAAGCGCGAAGGCCAAAAAATTTTTCGAATTTAAACAATAAATCGTTTATGGGAAAATTCCATTGAAAGATTTAGGGGTGCTAAAATTCTTATTTTCCTTTAGCATTTCCTAACTTAGTGATTAGGGGGAAAAAAAAAATAAAAAAACTGAGGAATTTGTTGGCCTAAAGTGCTTCCATGACTTTTCTTCTGGCATAATGCTGTTGATTGACTATCTTCCATTTAATATTTTAGAGGTTGATCCCCTATTAGTTTCTTCCCATAATGTTATTTTTAGGTTATGGGAACTTAGTTATGCACTAATTTAACCAGGTACTGTAAAGCCCTTAGACCCTAGTGGGTTTAGTACTTTGTTTTGATTATAATAATACAAGACCCTTAATGATATACAACCCATACAAATGTGTCCTTGATGAGACTTAGTAAGTGCTAGTGTCCAGGGCTTTTTAGGATAAAGGGGGGGGGGGGGTGATGCCTTGATGTCAGTGAAAAAGCTCTCAATTCAAATCTGACTGCCTGCTATTTCCCATGTGATGTACAATCCTTGAGTGTAGTACTACCATGAAGACATTCTTAAACCCTCGGGTGATGTTGGCAGCTACCCACTAAGTTTCATCCTCCAGGGACTTTCAGTAATTTGTGTACAGCATTTCTCCAGCCACTATACACAGCCATTTTTGTCACCATAACTTTCTCATTTATGTACATAACTATCCTGGCTTCAAAGATCTTTTGCACATGAAAGTGCTGTTCCTTGTGTGTTGAATAATTTTCAGAGCCGTTTTCCATTCATCAAATAGGGCTCGATTCAGTAAGTTCATCAAACTCGTCCTTTTTCTAATCTTGTTCATTTTAAAGTTGATTGAACATGCTGTTTTTGATAGTTTAATTTTCTGGAGCAGAATGTTTTACCATGTTTTCAGTCTGCCTATAGACCATTCAATTTGAGACAGCTTTGTGTAAAGTTTGATTTGGTACTGTACACTTGAGGAATTGTTTCTGCTAATTGTACTGGACACCTCTACTGCACTTGATACTATTAATAACAAATTATTGATAGTGATCTTTTTGGTTTGACTTATCTTTCCCGGTTTTAGCATTTCAAAAATAGTCTGTATCTGAGTTGCTCAACCACCACACAAACTACTACCACCACTATACCACCACACTACTACACACCCCATTTTCAACTACCACCAACTCTACCCCCTACTACAAACCACCACTACACCACCACCACTACAACTACACCACCCACTACTACCACCACTACTACACCCCACCCCACTACTACTACCCCCCTACAAACCCCCAAACTACTACTACTACCACCACACACCACCACCACTACTACCACCACCACAAAACCACCACCCCCACACACTACCCCACTACTACTACACCCCACCACTACAACACCACCACTACTACACCACCACCCTACACCACCCCCACTACAACCACCACCCTACTACCCACCACCACCCTACCACCACCACCACTCCCACCAAAACTACACCACCACCCCCTCTCACACTACACTACCACCACCCTGCTGCTGCACACAACCACCACCACTGCCTTACACACCAACCACGCTGCTCTACTACTACCACCACCCTCTGCTACTACACCATGCTGCTTACTGCACTCTCCCAACCCCGCTGCTGCACTACAACTACCACCACTGCTCTCTACTACCACCACCACGCTACTACTACCCCACTTCTACTAACCACCACCAAACCCTGCCCACTACAACTACTACACCCCACCACTCTCCCCGGCTACTAAAAACCACCACCACTGCTGCTACACACCACTGCTACTACTACCACCCTGCTACTCCCACTCCCTCTAAACACTCTCCCAACTCTTCCTGCTACACAACACTGCATTTTACTACTACCACTGCTGCTACTACTACAAACTACCACTACTACTCCCCCTTTCCTGCCTATTTACCCTCCGTTTGTTAGTGTGACGTAAGGGTCAAAGTCGGACCAAAACGTCGTCGTAACCCCTCTCTTCTATTGCATTTTTATTTGTGTATCTTCCAGTCAAGTATTGTGCCTTTTTTTTTTTTTGATGTTGTTTAATTTACAGCCTGGGGTTTTATCCCCCTTAATCTTTTTTGCCCCTCACCAGTATCTTGACTAAGGATTGACCTAATAAATGCATTCTTTCTACTTACAGTATCTTGAAAGCACAGTATTCTTTTTTTCCTGTTTTTTTTACTTTTAATAGTTTTTTGCATTTGGGGGGTTTGCCTACTTGCTCAAACCAGTCTGTACTGAACTGGCACGCTTTATTTTCACCCTAACTGGTGTTCCATTAGTTCCTGTTGGAGAGTTTTATTGGTCCCCGCAAGGTAAGGGCTGAATTTTTTGGCTTAAATTTAGAAAAATATAAGGTGGATAGACTGAATAAATTACCAAATATAGTACCCCTCTCATTAAGAATTTCAGATAAAGCGGCCAGACAAATGTTTTTATCAAAAAATTTCCCACAAAAATGTCGGGGTTGTCAACCCAAACCCAACCCCAAATCCAGGACCATCTGTTTTAATTGTTTCCTGAACTTGGCTATTGCTGTCTTTTTGTGCTTATCATACTCTTCTTCAGTTAATTTTATCTGGATTTGGAACATATTACAATTGCCACTAACAAATTTCTGAAAAAGTTAAATTTTAAAGGGGTTTGAATTTTGGCTTTGTGGTTGGGGTATGAAGGGAATGGGGTGTATAATATCTGTAGCAGAAAAGGCAAACTTGCACTGCTCTAAGTTCAAGGGTTGGTCAAGAAGCACATAAAAACCATAATCTTGGCATTTTCATAATCCTCCCCATGAAAAGTAATAAAATTTTACTATAAATTAAGACTAACTGTATACTCGGGTTATCCCCACATTGTTCCAGTTTGCCATATCATAAACCCCTTTCCTCATTGCCTTTAATGAGAGGTTTCACTGTACATACAGAAACCCCTTTCAAAAAATTTTTTTTTTTTAAATTTAAACTGTACACACAATAATCACCTGTAAAAAAATATTAAAATGGTTTAAATTAAATTTCCTGAGGGGGCTGTGAGGGTGCATGGAGAAATAATCATGCATGTCCAAAAAAGGGGAAAAGGACGGGTAAATTCCCATGAATACGTCATCTTCTACATCAAGAAGCCTCCCTTAAAGGGACATGAAAATAAATTGCACAAAAGGAAAGTAACAATTTTCTCCACAGGATTGCTTTCTTTTTCAACCTTTCCTACTTTCCAGAGCGCAGGGTTGAATGTTCCCCCCACTTTTCCCTTTAAAACCAAACATCCAAGTTCAATTGACTGTTCCCTTGGTATTTACAGTCCCAAACTTTTTTAAAATAGTGGATTGACACATGAAGGGGGAAAGCACAAAACGAGTCATGCCATGTAGAAAGTCAATCTTTTGATTAAAGGAATATAACACCTTTTTTAATTTTAAATGCATTACCCAAAAATGCTGTATGACCTTTTCGGGGTTTTGCAAAATTTTCCCCACCCCCTCCCCCCAAAAAAAAAAAAAAAAAAAAAAAAAATAAAAAATTTTTAAAACCCAGCCCTTTCCCCTTTTAAATTAAACCCGGTGCCCCATTTTGGGGCACTAATAAAACTAAGGGTTTCCCCCCCGCTTAATTACATTCTGCCCTACCCCCAATCAAGATGCATGTATTTTTACTTTTGGGAAACTTATCTTTTCCAAAACATCCCCCCTCCCCCCCTTTGCCTTTCCTCCAATTTTTCCATACCAATCTAACATACCACTGAATGCATTTGCTACGACTGGGGATTGTGCACAGCACAAACCCCTTTTGTTGCGGGGCCAAAAACAGGGCGGGTAGTAAACCCTTTTAAAAGGGTTTTCGGTAATTTTCCCTCTTATTCTGTTTAGTAATGTGTTTTCCCCCAAATTTCACCCCTCGCATTTTCATTCCTAAAATCTATATGGGGTTTCTGCACCCTTCTGAGAAAAATAGTTCACTAACTTTACTTTTTTGCCATATTTTAAAAAACCACATCTCTCCTGAAAGTTCCTTTTCTACTAAAAAAAATAGTTAGACCGACTTAAAAAGTTCACAATGGCATTTTTTACCCTTAATCCATTACTTTCCACCCCTTGTACCTTCCCCTTGGGGAATTTAAAGTCGATTGGATTGGTGCTCTATGCATGGGGATGCCTCCCCCCCCCCCAGTACTTTTAAATAATTTGGGAAGGATAAATTTATAATTTACCCCTTTCTCTCTGCGTTATGCTAGCCATTCCCGGGCCTTGGGGAAACATAATATCCTGATTCTCTCCTAGTCAAACTTGCACTCTCTTCTCTTCCCATCCACAACACTTCCCTTTCATTTGCCTCCTTTCCCATATCCCTCTAAATTTTTTTATTCAATTACCCAAAATGATTGAATTTTTCACTGATCCCCCTACCCAGAAAAACATAGAAAATTTAAGGAAATGGGGGTCGGGCAAAAGCTTGACAAATTTGCTTGGAAAAAAAAAAAAAAAAAACTATTCTCACATGTCAAAACAAAGAAAAGCCTCTTTTTAAAATTTTTTATCTCCGATTCTTTTAATGAATTTTTCCCCTGACAAATCATGTCCTTCATCTATGCAAGTCAATAAATTGTCAAATTTATTTTTTACTTTAAATTTCAATAACAACTCCCCACTACGTTTAAATCATTATCCCCCATTCCAACCCAAAGGCAATAGACAGAGAAAAAAAATTTAAATTAAAAAAAAAAAAACTCAAAATATACAGTAACCTCTTTTCTTGAATAAATTTAAGGGCCCGTGGATATGTACTGTTTACAATCTCGTCAGTAAAGATTTTCTCCGTCCTATGCTCTGCTATCATTTCAAAATCTGAAAAAAAGTTTGTAAAAAACCCCCTTTGTCATAATCCTTGGGTGTTACATACAGATTTTCTTCCTTCAAAGGTATCTGAAAATCCTCACCTTAATGTTGGGGTTTAGTGTTCTTGATTATAATACCTTAATGTTATAATTTGCTTGTAATTTTCTAAAACTGGCCATTTTACTACCAATAAAGATAAGCACATTATGAAAGTAGTTCCTCAGTAAGAACAAAGCAGGATACCTATAAATAAAGAAATGACATTTGGCTATACGAGAACTAATGCAGCATTTTCCCAAACCACTTTGGACTTGTTGGCTGCTTCAACCCTTCACAAACACCACAGAAGTAACAATCCTTATATTAAAGGCACATTACTATCCCCAGGCTGCAATCGAGATAAATATACTAACGAGTGTGTAAACAATAATCAAGCATGACTGCTGGCAGATACAGTACAACAAAAGCTAATTAATTAAATTAACTTTCCTTTAAACTTCACAAATGGTTCATCCCCATTGACCCATTCACTTAACTATGTAAGGAAAGAAAAGAACAGCAAAGAAAATATTGGCTTGTAAATAATTTTCAGTGCTTGTTTACAAACTCAGCCACCTTGACTTTAAAAAATTTCATTAAAAAAAAAGTAGCAGTGAAATTATGCTGTTCTGCAAGATATGAGAGTGCGTGGATGTAGTGCAGATGATAGAAACGATTGTGAATGTTTTGAATGAAAAGTAGCTGGATGTCCTGGCTCTTAAGAAACAAAACAAAGGGGTAGGAGAATTTCAGTGGGGAGAAATAAATGGGCTTAGGTCAGGAAGGAGTAGGAATAATGTTGAAGGATCAGTTATGACAAGAGAGGGAGTATAAATGCATAAGTTTAAGGATTGTGGAGTATAATAAGGGTCAGATGTGAAAAGAGGGTTATACTAGGTGTTGATGCACCTGGGGAAGAGGAGTGCAGAGAGATTTTAGGAAAAGTCGAGTGTTTAGGAAGTTTGAACCAAGCGAGTAATTGTGGTATGGGACTTAAATGCGAAAGTGGGAGAAACTATTGTAGATGACATAGTAGGTAAGTTTGGGGTGCCAGGCATAAATGATAATGGGGTTCACTAACTAGTGCCTGCCCAACAATGGCCAATGAGTGGTTTTACCACTGTTTTTAACAGCCACATTAGCAATAACCTCATTAATAAGGCATTAAAGGTAGAAGTGTGAGCCACTAAACCATCACTTGCAATACCAACATTGAAAAATCAAAAGGCTCCTTAAATGGCTTGCATCAAGAGTATTTTGAATCTTAAGAGCATGTGATTTGACCTGACCTGTCTCCTCAAGGAATAGGCTTTTGATCCAATGAAGTGTACCTGCCCCTCTTCTCTGGATTGAACCTGATTGCCTCCCATTCCCTATGCCCTGTATGTCTCCTATGGGCTAATCACTTTAAAGGTTATAATAATCACCTGACAGTTTCAGATTTCCCCCCCCCCCTTTTTTTTTTACAGTCGTGACCTGATAATGGTTCAGAACAGACTGAAATGCTATTGTAATTTTTCTTTCAAAATAGAGAACTGCAGTATTTGTGCACTGTTCCAACTACAGTTCAGTGATTTTTCATTCTTCTTTGCATTATCTTACAGTACTGTATATTTTCAAACAGTTTAATAAACTGAGAGAAAAGGAAAGTGGTAGTAAACATGTCAAATAAAAAAAAAGTACAGCATGGGACTTTTGTAGTAAATTTCCCAAACCCAATCTCATTAACTCACCTTCCTCAGAGAAAGATGGGACAAACTATCTTTGTCTTTATGGCCACCTACAAAAGTAATTAAAATTGTGTGCTTACCCAAAACTCTCTATCCTTCAATCATTTCATCCTGACACTTCAAGATTTTCAATAATATTATATATCACTATTTTAAGAATTAGTGTTGGCAAGTGAAAACTGTATATGGATTAACTTTAAAAATACAGATGCCAATAATTATAACCAGTACCTGAATCAACTCTGCCTTGAGTTCTCCAGTGAGCATTTGACCAGAGGAATACTGCTGCCGAATCTCTTCTAATCTACCATCATCTTCCATGAAGAATCTAAGGTACATAAAAGACACATCCACCTCACAGTCTCCACCCTTTTCTCTGTGTTCCTCTACTGTATCTTTGCCACCTGAGAAAGCATATTTGTTTACCTGTAGGGAAAATTAAATTATATAATTAAGAGAAAAAGATTAATCTAAATCTGTATCTATTGTAAAAAAAAAAAATGCAATTTCCAGAATTGTCATTTATATATAATATACAGGCCCCTGTACACTGTTTATTTTTCATTTATTTATATGTACCTGTACTATATTAATTTTAGTATAAAATATCTGGCATTTTCTATGGGTGAACTGGGTTTAGCCTTTCTTTTTTATTTTTTATAATAATAATAATCTATGGCAAATTAAATCTTCATCATCAGTAATGCTCTTATGTTATTTGATGGCTGGCATGTTAAAAAAATTATAGTTTAACAATTAATTTATGAACTAGGATTACAACCTTTTTCTTAATTTGATTTGCAGTGTCAGTCAAAAATATAGATGAATTCTCATCTGAGGCACTCATCTTGCTACTGGCACCCTGCAGTGCTGGGAAGAAGGTGGAGTGAATGAGTGCAGGCTTTTGGAATCCTAACCTGGGTGCGACGTCCCGGGTCATCCGGAAGTACGGGTCCTGTAATATATTTAGTAAAATACATACATGGTGTTTGTATGTGATTTGACTAATGTTTTTATCTTTATCTACATTTACACTAAGTATTCCAGAAGATTACATATTTATGCTGGTCAATACCAAGGCATGCTAGTTTTCAGCCTGGTATAGTTTGACATTTCCCCTTCATCTCATCCTTAATAAAGTTATGCCTTTAACATTTAATTTCTTTGTTAATATAGCAAACTTTTATACTTACCTGATCAATAGCACATGGAATAAGACATGGGATGTCCTTTTTTCCACCAAATATGAATGGAAAGCTGGAGGAGAAACTGGGAACTGCTTGAATAGCGGGAAACATTATCTTCCCAATATTGGAGGACTCGTCAAACCCAAAAATTCCTTTAACTTGGTTGAATGTTACGTGCTTCTGGACCTTTAACACATTTCTGGTGGTACGAGAGAGATCACACAATAGATAATATTCTATCATAAAATGGTGTATTTAATAATAAATGTATATAACTTTTATATGGTGGGTGGTAGTAGGTTGGTAGACAGCAACCACCCAGGGAGGTAGTACTGTCCTGCCAAGTGAGTGTAAAACGAAAGCCTGTAATTGTTTTACATGATGGTAGGATTGCTGGTGTCTTTTGTCTGTCTCATAAATATGCAAGATTACAGGCATGTCTTGCTACTTCTACTTACACTTAGGTCACACTGCACATACATGTACACGTTTATTTATACACACTCATCTGAGCTTTCTTTGATTTTATCTTAACAGTTCTTGGTCTTATTACTTTTCCTTTTACATCCATGGGGAAGTGGAATAAGAATCTTTCCTCCGTAAGCCACGCGTGTTGTAAAAGTCAACTAAAATGCCGGGAACAATGGGCTAGTAACCCCTTTTCCTGTAAAGATTACTAAAAAGAATAAGAAGAAGAAAATTGTCAAAGTGGGAAGTCTGAATGTCGTGGAGTTGTGCAAATGATAAGAAAGAGATGATTGTGGATGTTATGAATGAGGAGGAGCTGGATGTCCTGGCTTTAAGTGAAACAAAGCTGAAGGGGGTGGGAGAGTTTCAATGGAGGGGAATAAATGGGATTAGGTCAGGGGTTTCAAAATAGAGTTAGAGCTAAAGAAGGAGTAGCAAAAAATTTTTGAAGGATAAGCTATGACGGGAAAAGGGGGGACTAAAAAATATATTAATTCAAGGATTATTGGAGTAAAATAAAGATTGGATGTGAAAAGTGGGTTATAGTAAGCGTGTATGCACCTGGAGAAGAAAGAAGTGAAGAGGGAGAGAGAGATTTTGGAAGGTTGAGTGAATGCGTGGGGAGTTTTGAATCAAGTGTGAGAGTAATGGTGGTTGGGGATTTCAATGCTAAAGTGGGTAAAAATGTTATGGAGGGAGTAGTAGGAAAATTTGGGTGCGGGGGTAAATGTAAATGGGGAGCCTTTAATCGAGCTATGTTAGAAAGAAATTTGGAAATTTAATAATACATGTACATATTTTTTGAAAAAGAGGATAAATAAATATACAAGGTATGATGTAGATGTAATGAAAGTAGTTTGTTAGATTATGTATTGGTGGATAAAAGGTTGATGGGTAGGGTCCCGGATGTACATGTTTATTGAGGAGCAATGATATATCGGATCATTATTTAGTTGTAGCTACAGTTAGAGTAAGAGGTAATGGGAAAAGAGGAAGGTGGCAACACAAGTAAGAGGGAGGTGAAAGTGTATAAACTAAGGGAGGGGGAAGTTCGGGTGAATATAAGGACTATTGGCAGAAAAGGTGGGCTACTGCAAGATGAGTAGTGGGGGGTTGAAGAGGTTGGAATAGTTTTAAAAATACAGTTTAGAATGTGGGCAGAAGCTTGTGGTTATAGGGGGGTGGGGCAGGGGGAAAAAAGGATGTGACTGGTGGAATGATGAAGTAAAGGGTGTGATAAAAGAGAAAAAGGTTAGCTTATGAGAGGTTTTTACAAAGCAGAAGTGTTATAAGAAGAGCAGAGTATATGGGGAAATAAAAGAAAGGTGAAGAGAGTGCAAAAGGAGAGCAGATGATGGAGTGGGAGTGGCACTGTCAAGAAATTTTAACGAAAATAAGAAAAAATTTTGGAGTTAAGTTAAGAAAGCCTAGGGAAAGTATGGATTTGTCAGTTAAAAACAGAGTAGGGGAGTTAGTAGATGAGGGGAGGGAGGTATTAGGTAGATGGGGAGAATATTTTTTAGGAACTTTTAAATGTTTTAGGAAGAAAGGAGGCGGTAATTTCATGCACTGGACAGGGAGGTATACCATCTTTTAGGAGTGAAGAAGAGCAGAATGTAAGTGTGGTGGAGGTACGTGAGGCATTACGTAGAATGAAAGGGGGTAAAAGCAGCTGGAACTGAGGGGTCATGACAGAAATGTTAAAAGCAAGGGGGGATATAGTGTTGGAGTGGTTGGTACTTTGTTTAATAAATATATGAAAGAGGGGAAGGTACCCAGGGATTGGCAGAGAGCATGTATAGTCCCTTTATATAAAGGGGAAAAGGGGGCAAAAGATTGTAAAAATTATGAGGAATAAGTTTAACGAGTATACCAGGAAAGTATACGGTAGGGTTATAATTGAAAGAATTAGAGGTAAGACAGAATGTAGGATTGCGGATGAACGGGAGGCTTCAGAGTGGGGAGGGGATGTGAAGATCAAATGTTTTACATTGAAGCATTTTATGTGAACAGTATTTAGATAAAAAGGGAGGGAAGTTTTTTTTTGCATTTATGGATTTAGAAAAGGCATATGAAGAGTGGATAGAGGAGCAATGTGGCAGATGTTGCAAGTATATGGAATGGTGGTAAGTTATAACTGCTTTAAGAGTTTTTATAGGATAGTGAGGCCTCAGTTAGGTGTGTAAAGAGGGAATACTTCCTAAAAGTAGGTTTAGACAGGGATGTTAATGTCATCAATGGTTGTTTAATAATTTATAGATGGGGTTGAAAGAGAAAAGCTTAGGTTTGTAGGGAGGGTGGGATTAAATATGGGAATCAAAAAAAATGGGAATGACCAGTTACTTTTTCGCGATTTTTTTGGGAATTCTAAAGAAAAATTAGGCAATTAGTATAGTTTGAATGTGTGTAAAGGTAGAAGTGAAAGTGAAACATAGGTAAGGTGATATGAGGGATCAAAAAGATTTGATGATGAAGAAAAATTGGATATAAAATTGGGGAGGAGGAGATTAATGGAAGAAATAGGTAGTAGGTTGGTAGACAGCAACCGACCAAAGGGAGGTACTACAGCTGTCATGAGCAAAGTGAGTGTAAAAAAGGAAAGTTTTCCTGTAATTGGGGTTTTAAAATGATGGTTAGGATTGCTGTGTAATTTTTTCTGTGGTCAGATCATGCAAGATTTAAGGTAGTCTTGCATATGTTGTTACACTTAGGTCACACTCCTAACAGTACAAGATGTATTACACACCCACTGGTTTTTCTTCTATTTTTCCTTTTAGTCTTATTCATGTTTATTTCATCTTTTCTCCATGGAAGTTGAACAGAATCTTCCTGTATAGCCATACGTTTTAAGAGGGCAACTAATGCCGGGGCAAGGGCTGTAACCTTCTGCATGTATATATACTAAATGTAAGATGGAAGACTTTCGTTTTTCCTTTTGGCCACCCCCACGGTGGGATAAAGGCCGGGTGTTGAAAGAAAGGAAAGAGTATGGAAGAAGTGAATGTTTTCAGATACTTGGGGGTTGACGTGTCAGCGGATGGATTTATGAAGGATGAGGTTAATCATAGAATTGATGAGGGAAGAAAGGTGAGTGGTGCGTTGAGGTATATGTGGAGTCAAAAAACGTTATCTATGGAGGCAAAGAAGGGAATGTATGAAAGTATAGTAGTACCAACACACTTATATGGATGTGAAGCTTGGGTGGTAAATGCAGCAGCGAGGAGACAGTGGAGATGTCCTGTCTAAGGGCAATGTGTGGTGTAAATATTATGCAGAAAATTCGGAGTGTGGAAATTAGGAAAAGGTGTGGAGTTAATAAAAGCATTAGTCAGAGGGCAGAAGAGGGGGGGTTTGAGGTGGTTTGGTCATTTAGAAAAAAATGGATCAAAGTAGAATGACATGGAAAGCATATAAATCTATAGGGGAAGGAAGGAGGGGTAGGGGTCGTCCTCGAAAGGGTTGGAGAGAGGGGTTTAAAGAGGGTTTTTTGGGCGAGGGCTTGGACTTCCAGCAAGCGTGGTGAGCGTGTTAGATAGGAGTAATGGAGACGAAAGGTACTTGGGACCTGATGATCTGTTGGAGTGTGAGAAGGGTAATATTTAGTGAAGGGATTCAGGGAAACCAGTTATTTTCACTTTAAAGGAGGGGTTTGGGATATTGGCAGTTTGGAGGGATATGTTGTGTATCTTTATACGTATATGCTTCTAAACTGTTGTATTCTGAGCACCTCTGCAAAAACAGTGATAATGTGTGAGTGTGGTGAAAGTGTTGAATGATGATGAAAGTATTTTCTTTTTGGGGATTTTCTTTCTTTTTTGGGTCACCCTGCCTCGGTGGGGGACGGCCAACTTGTTGGAAAAAAAAAAAAAAAATGGTGGGTGGTGTGTTGAAGCATCTGTAGAAAGTAAGTTTATCTAGAGGCAAATAAGAGAATGCACAAGAGTATAATGGAACCAACACTTTTATAATGGTGTGAGACATGGGCTTTGAATACTGCAGTAAGAATTAGGCTAGAGGTAGTGGAGATAAATTTAAGCAATGTGTTGTGTGAATGTAATAGAGAATTTAGATCTAAGAAATTAGGTGGTCTGTTGGTTACCAAGATTATGATTCAGAGGGCTAAGGTGGTTTTGACATTTAGAGAAGGTAGAAGGGGTAGGTAGGCAATTTTGATATTTGAGGAGCACTTTGACAGTGGCAGATCGTTCAGCACTCTTCACAAAATTTATGCACATACAATCCGCACAGAAAACTAGCCAACAATAAAGCTACAAACATTAATAAAACACACTAAGAATGGAGAGGAATATGATGAAATAGAGGGTGAATAAATCTGAGGTAGAGGCCATCCCAGGAAGGGTGGAAGGTGAGGGTAGAGGTGGTTTTGTATGCTAGGCTTCAGCATCCCACAGGTTTATACGAATATATTAGATAAGAGTGGAGACAAGTGGTTTTTAATGCTTGATGTGCTATTGCTATGTAAAGTAAATAGCAGTCATGAAGGGATTCAGGGTACACTGGTTAGCTGGACTTGAATCCTGAAGGTGGGAAGAGCAGTGCTTGAACTCTGGAGGAGTAAGGATATTACAGTTGGAGGGTCATCTGAATTGTGGTGTCATTACACTTCTGGCCAAGACAGTGATTGAATAAATGGTGGATGTGTTTTCTTCTTTGAGTCACTCTGCCTTGGTAGGTCATGGCTGTTGAGGTATAAAAAAAAATCCTAACTTAACTAAATCTGACCTAAAACAAAGAACATCCACCACTTACTTGAGTTAATGTTCTTATTGTAAGGTGTGTGAAGTAACTGAAATACTATTAGGTGACTGACTTATTCTCTCAAACTTTCCTTTGATGACCCTAGCTATGGACTTATGGAAATTTACCTTATTTTTTCACTGTAGAACTATTTATAAACTGTATTCACTTTTGACTGCTTCATTACCTCAAAGGTGAGCCTGTACTAGTCTCAAGCTTCTTCAGCATGGCCAGCTGAATTTATTATGTTAAGAATTATCCTCAAGGCATTTCACTAGTGCCAACTACTTCTTCAACAGCTCTTCCAACTTCTAGCAGTACAATGGCATCAGAGAACTCCACTCCCTAAGATACAAGTTGGCTTCAAATTGAACCATTTTTCATTAGGTTCCACCCGCTGGCAATCTTTGCCAGCAGGTAGAACAATGGCTCAATTAAAAGCCAATGAAAACATGGAACATTGTAAAGAGGTACTGTATATGCAGGGCCCTCCTTATCATCAGTCTCTAACACCTTAAAATCAAGTTGTCTGCCAAGTCCACAACTTTCTTTTTGAAATTATCTATACACTCTTTAAATACCATTAGTCTGCAACACACCTAAATTTGATTCATAATTTGTGAAGAGAACAGAGCCAAACAAATGAACATTATGTAGTTAAAAAAAAAGCATACTGGGAAACAAGCCTACCATGGTACAATTATCAAATTACTGGCTGTAATATATATTAAAAAAAAAAATAATGGCAGATCAGTGTTACATGGTGCATAAGACATTATTAAATATCTCCACAAGTTAACTACTGCATACCCTGTATGAGTCACCTATTGTATGGCATACACACACTTTCATCAGAAGTAACTGCTTCAATTATTCCTGGAGATACAACAATGAGCATAAATAATATGCAAATAATTGATTATCTGGCAACTGCTTGTTTTTTAATGTTCACCATTATCCAGTGGTCATTACAGTACAGAGCACCTGAAGAGATAATGCATAAAAGACATGGGTCAATAGGAACCATAAAAACTGATGCATTACCCTGTTTTGAAGCTCCAGTACATCTTCTCTTAACATAGCTGGATAATTTATGCTCTACATTATTTTGTATAACAAAATAAAACAAAAGTACTGTGCATCTTTTGGCTTTAAAACTGACTTACTTATAAAACTCTCCACCTATAAAGTCGACATCAGAAAATATAAAAGTTTTGCTCATGTCAAATCCAACAGCAATGATGTCCTTGGCATTCTCATAAGCAAGATTATTGCAGTGTTCTAGCTTGAGATCCTTCCACAGATATTTTTCATCATCAGTCATCTGAATTATTAAAGGAACATCAAATACATCCTGGAGCCACCTGCAATTATGAGAATGAAAATATATAATAATGCTATATTAACAATGAACATCAAATAAAAAAAATAGACTACAAACTATAAAAATTATTAAGAATACATTATTCTTTACTGCTGTATTTTTAAACTTTTCCTGAAGTCAAACAGCTGAAGATACTCTCCAGAATCCTAAATACCAGTAATAAGGAGAAAAAATATTTACGTTTTATTGTAAAACTGCAATTTTTAATCCTGCAAAAATGATGATGGTACTACTGCATATCCTAGGTCAAAAAGTTAATATTCCCCAGTATTAAAAACAAAGCATGGTACAATATTTCGTTGAATAAATATAACATATTATAGGTAGTAGGTTGGTAGACAGCAACCACCCAGGGATGTACTACCGTCCTGCCAAGTGAGTGTAAAACGAAAGCCTGTAATTGTTTTACATGATGGCAGGATTGCTGGTGTCCTTTTTTCTGTCTCATGAACATGCAAGATTTCAGGTACGTCTTGCTACTTCTACTTACACTTAGGTCACACTACACATACATGTACAAGCACATATATACACACCCCTCTGGGTTTTCTTCTATTTTCTTTCTAGTTCTTCTTCTTGTTTATTTCCTCTTATCTCCATGGGGAAGTGGAACAGAATTCTTCCTCCGTAAGCCGTGCGTGTTGTAAGAGGCGACTAAAATGCCAGGAGCAAGGGGCTAGTAACCTCTTCTCCTGTATATATTACTAAATGTAAAAGGAGAAACTTTTGTTTTTCCTTTTGGGCCACCCCACCTCGGTGGGATACGGCCGGTGTGTTGAAAGAAGAAGAAATATAACATATGTTGTGCCAAACCAAATTTAGGTGCTATAATCCAATACTTGCAAGGAAGTTTATTTTGATGGATAAAGCTACAATTTTTAAAATACAATGTAACACTGTAAATTTGAATATTGATTAATCAGACACATGCAACACCTGGATATAATTTTTAAAATGGAATACAATGCCGACAAGCAGATGAATAAGACACGTGCATGAGGTTTTCTCCAGGCTTAGGGAGTGACCACCTCAAAAACTCCTACCATCAAGGCTGATAGACTGATCACATCTTTACCTTGTCACAACTGCTGTCTTCATATTTATTCTCCTCTATACGCTAGTCCTCCCATATCTGTGGGAGATACGTTCCAAGACCTACCACAGATAGTAGTTAATACTATAAGTCGTTTTTTGTTCATGTACATACCCATGAAAAGGTTTAATTGATAAATTACACATAAGTAGTCTAGAATTACCACTTTTCATTGATGGGAAGCATTTCAAGGCTTCTCTTAGGCTTTGAAGAAATGCCAGCATCACTACTTTTGTGCTTTGGTGTCATTATAAGCAGAATTAAGGATTACAGTATTTTCAGGCCACGGTAAACTGCGGAAACCAAATCCGTGGCTATGGGGGTTCTACTGTATTCAGCTGAAAAAGCCTATCATGGAGGTGGAATATTTCAACAATAAAGATTACCCAACTGTTGCACATGCATCTTACTCATCACCTGGGTATCTTTCTTCTTCAATAGATACCCAGGTCTTGCAAATATGTCTTATTTATCAACTTGTCTGTATTGTATGCCTTTCATCTAATTTTGAGATTCTTGAAAACTGCAGCTGTTGAAAAGTATGGTAGAGTTTAATACCAAATTTTTCTCAATCTTCCAGCATATAAATTATATTTAACATTATACTAAGAGTAAAAATGACACTATTATTAGTTTTAAATCTGAGATGTATGTGAAATTTTGCCATGAAACCCTTGGGTTTAGATCAATAAAGATTATCTGATACAGTAAAACACTTTTACTTTTCTGAATCACCCTTAATGTTTCATGCTTTAGCAAACACCAGCATATGAAATTTTTTTAATCAAAATAATTCAATTTTAGTGGCAAGCAATAAATAGTCGAAAAAAATTGTAAATTATCATCATTTTCGATTAAAAGTTTAATAATCTACATTTTTTATCTAAAAATTGAATTACGTGTCAAAAAATGTTTCCAACGAGCAGGTGTAATACAGTATTACACTTCCAAGAAAAAATGCAGTATCATTGTTATTACTATGCATTAGATTCATGGGAGGTGTGCTAAACCTGTAGGGGTATATACCTTTGAAGAGTTTCGAGTGTTTCACTAGTCTCGGGTCATACACTACTGAGGGAAGGAGGCAATCAGGACTGATCCAAAGAAAGAGAGGATAGGTCCAGTTCCTTGGATCAAGCGCTCCTCTGAGACATATGGAAAATATAAGTATTTAGCACTCAGGGCTTAAAAAAAAAAAAAAAAGCCATAAGAACCACACCAGCAGCTCAAGCAAAGTCTTGGAGTCAACTGAACTCCTGTAGGGTTGATTGTCGCACTTTTAATAACTTTATTAAGAGCTAATGGCTGGGAATTCAATCGCTCTAGTAAGATTGATGACCCGACTTTGCATCGAATCATCCAGAATAAAAATAATACTGCAGAAATTAAAATTGGAAAACGAAAGCCTGAGGATTGTTTCTGGAAACTAAACTGGAACGTGAAAACTTCCAGAATACAGTAGATGTGAATGTAATAATGATGTTGTAGTATACTATAAATTACTAGCACTACTTTTGGCTCTTCAACTAAAAATGCATCAGGATAAAATCTGTAATGCTTAATATGAATTTTCAGTATGTGCAACAAAATGCTTTCTTCCTGTAATGAATATGATGATACCTTTATTAAATATTTGCCATTCCAAAAGTACATACGTATACAGCATCTGGTTTCACTGTAATTAAGTTTATTATTCGTTTACCACTTACTTTGTCATAATAAATGGGATGAGGTGACCAACATGCATAGAATCAGATGACGGACCTCGACCAGTATACAGAAAGAATTTTTTGCCTGCTTCAACCAGGTTCAGGATTCTGAAAGTGGAAAAAAGAATATGTATATTGTAACTGGACATTACCAGCATTAAGGTAATTGAGGGATGTAACTCCAATCACTCATCCCTGTATAGCTGAGGATACAATTTTATTTATTTAACCTTTTAACTGTGTCCAGCATACTAATACAAAGGCGATGTCCAAGTGTCCAACGTACTACAGATCGGCCACCGCTGACCCGGCAACCACTAATCTGACACTAATTTCGGCTAGCGAAGAATCTTGCATCATGGATGAAGATAATGTTGAGGAATGGATGAATGTAGATGAAGATGATACTGGATTAGTGATGGTCGACCTGTGGTATGCACAATTTATCACACATTCAAATTTGCCACCTCAGCACAACTCTGAGTCTTCTACAATCTCTTCATAAATTTGAAAAAAATCTAAGGCCAGGAGGGTCTATACAAAACATCATGATTAACGCATACTATTTGTAATTTTCACTTTGCATTACTATATATCTCATGATTAACTACTTTGCCTACATTAATCAAGACTATATCTAGTGCTTAGATAGACCAGCATATGCACTAGTATTACAATACAATACTGAACTAGTATTACATTACAATACTGAACTAGTATTACAATACAATACTGAACTAATATTACAATACAATACTGAACTAGTATTACAATACAATACTGAACTAGTATTACAATACAATACTGAACTAGTACAGTATTACAATACAATACTGATCTAGTATTACAGCTCTAGTTTCCCAAAGGCATGTAATGAATATAACTTTAACAGCTTCAGAGCTAGAGACGTGGGGATCATCAATGACAAAAGATTGTCACAGGAAGATCGTATTAATTAAAACGGCTATTAATTTGTTTGCCACACTAGCAAATTTTAGATAAATACATGGAAATATGCTAAAAAAAGAAAAAAAAAACACTATTAATAATATATACCACGACTAAATTGGAATATACAGCAGTGGTATGGAGTCCACACCCACAAAATCATGTAGATAAATAAGAATTCTCCTAGGCAGCAGGTTAGTAGACAGCAACCGTCCTGCCAGTGAGTAAAATGGAAGCCTGCAATTGTTTTACACAATGCTAGGATTACTGGTGTCTTTTTTCTGTCTCATAAACATGCAAGATTTCAGGTACATCTTGCTACTTCTACTTACACTTAGGTCACACTACACATGCATGTACAATCACATATATACACACACTCCTCTGGGTTTTCTTCTATCTTCTTACTAGTTCTTGTTCTCATTTATTTCCACTTATCTCCATGGGGAAGTGGAACAGAATTCTTCCTCCAAAAGCTATGCGTGTTGTAAGAAGCGACTAAAACGCCGAGAACATGGCACTAGTAACCCCTTTCCTATATATATATTACTAAATTTAAAAAGAGACTTTCGTTTTTCCTTTTGGGCCACCCTGCCTCAGTGGGATACGGCTGGTTTATTGAAAGAAGAAGAAAAAATAAAAATTCTTTTGCAGAATGACAAGTTACAAAAGGCTCCCACATATTAAAATTATTTATAAAAAAAATATTAGTAGTATTATATATGCTCGCAGTGTCTGATAGAAGCCAAAGAGTAGACATCATAACAAAAATGAGATCAAAAAAAGATATAAATGATTTTTAGTGGCTTCAACAGGAATGGTAAAAAGTATGGAACAAAATACAGGAGGTAGTAGGTGCTACAGCCACTTGAATTTTTTTTATGACATATTAAATACTGAAGAGAAGACATCATGAGCATAACAATGCCTATGACCAAACTAAAACACAAACTGGAATTTGTATTAAGTCTGACCAACATGTTGTTTGCCTTTAATATTACAAAGGAAATGTTATATAGCCTCTCCTCACCTAGCGACGTACTTGCTTACCGATGACTCAGATTTACGACAGGCTCTCTGACCAGTATGTATACCTCAATACGTAATATATATTATAGCTGATTTTCTCTATTTTGTTTAATACAATATACAGTACATTACTGTATAAACACTTAAAAATATACCAGAAATGTTATAAATGGTGCAAAGGTGACATTAAAACAATATCAAAGATGGTAGACACAAACCCACTACCATTATAGTATGCTCCTCAATGAGTGATGAATTCGTTTACCGATGTGGTCTTAGGAACGGAACTGCGTCATTTAGTGAGGAGAGGCTGTACTCATAGAAAGTGCTAAACCCATAAGATTATCATTATTATAATCATAACTAAGTGCTAAACCCTAAATCCATAAGTCATTCGGTATTAAATAACAAGAAAATACAATACCTCACCTATGCATGTCCCGGTGTGAGAAGAATATTCCTCGTCTCAAGAAATGATGAGGGTTTTGCCCAGTCAGTTTCTCAAATCTCTCCAGAAGGGCATCATCAATACGAGATGACCCAAATCTATCTAAAGACAGACTCTTACTAAGAGATGCAATTTTAAGATTATCCATCACTTACTTTAAAATATTTATACTCAATTCATTAAAATGTGTTGAATTAAAACAAGTTTAAAATGCATAAAACTTCTTTCAAATGTTTGTGTATAAGTATACGCAATTAATTCCCCAGTAAAATGAATAAACACTCTTACCTATCAACTTATCATAATCAATGCCCTTATTGCTAGAAGCTTGTACATTCCATGGATCAACAATATCCTCGGTTAACTGCTGCTCTAGCTGCTGCTGTTCCACCTGTTTGGGTCCATCTTTCTCAATTTTGTTATTCATCATTACTGTCACCTGGAAACCAACCAATAGAGAAAATTAAATTGTTTATGGTCCGTATGACTAAAAGAGGTGAAAACAATTAATTACAGCAAACCATGCAGGGTACCACATTATTATATTCATGAACAAACAATAAGCCCACAATGATTATACAATATCTGGGGAACAGGTGTCAGGGTTGATCTAGGGAAGTGAAGGGTAGCCTCAATTCCTAGGATCAAGAACTATTTCACAAGCATTAAGGAACCCCCTTAATGCTTGTGATAAGTAATACAAGTACCAGTCTCTGGTATTGTGAAAATTATATAAGATACATTAAATTAAGGAGTACTATAGTACAGTATATGGAATAAATTCACACTCAAGGCGAAAGCAACTTTCCAAGCAGTAGCTCACACAGACTAACCTTTATCTTATTCACTGACAGTATTAAGCTGTTTCTTTTAGGGCCTGGAAATTTTGACCTGTCACTGCCAAAGCTGTCTATATGTTTATACCAGCGGTGGAGATTATGGAGGTCTTGGTTGGGGGTGGATCTAAATTGGTCAAATAATATTGTATCAGCCTGGCTTGTTGCAAACCCTTCTACGTAGCTGTTGATCAAAAAGTGATCATTCAATGCCTCCTCCTCCTCCCTAGTGATTGGCATCCTCTGTCATGAGCACAAAATATAAATTATTAGAAACAGGCTATGCTACATTTGCTACTTCCATTTTAATACATACGTATTACATATCAAATGAAAAGCATAGAATAACAATTACATAATATAAAGATCTGTGAATGAATGAATGAATAAGTCCAGGTTTTTCCTTTTTTGGGTCACCCTGTCTTGTGGAACATGGCCTATAGGGTAAAAATAAGATCCATACATAACTTGCTAACAACTGCAACTTCAAAAATGTTTAATAGTATCCTGCAGCATTAATGCAGAACAGAATTTAAAAAAAAAAAAAAAAAGAGTGAAAAAGTTATTTATTTATTTTCTAAAAATTTTACTAAATTAGCAGAAGACAGATACTAGCAACTTCACATAGTACAGATCCTTTTCTGTGTGCAATACACACACAAAATGACGTCTACACAAACTAATTACTCTACAATATTCTCTTCCTTATTATCAATAGAAGGGGCATGAGAAAGTTTCTTGTAATTATACTTAAGCATTCTCTAACTCTGTCTGTATTGTAAATGTTCATAAAATTTCACAAATTAACCAGAATGTGAAGATTAAAATCTCTGGTCTACCAAATGTTCTACTACCTCCCAAATATTAAATTATAGTTGATAAAGCCCAAAATGCTCTGCAGCTGCAGCTTTTGGTCATGTGACTGAGGCCTTCTGCTGGCTTACCAGTCCACCCCTTTAAAAATTATGGATATAATTATAACCATCACCAAGAGCTTTCCACATGAAGTGTACCAATGTCATCAATTTTGCAAAAACCATGTATTTTGTGAAAATAAATTATTATCATTATTTAGCGCAGAGCATCTAATAAATAGGCTTGCTCTGATGCGAGTGTTTCACATTCCTAGTTTGTTGGTTACTTATGTAAGTTTATTTAGGCATAGGTACACATAAGTATAATTATCATACATAGTGTAAATTACCAAGAATAACCAAAAACAAAAGTCAGACAAAGTGACTTATAAATAACAAAAAAATGCACAATACCGTAACTGGAACTATACACAAATAACCCGCACATAGAAGAGAGGAGCTTACGACGCGTTTTGGTCCTACTTGGACCATTTACAAAGTGACTTTGTAAATGGTCCAAGTCAGACCGAAACGTCGCCGTAAGCTCCTCTCTTCTATGTGCGGGTTATTTGTGTAAAGTGACTTATTTTCATTGGATCCTCGCCACCCACTACAACCAATTCTTACAATTCAGAAAAGGCCCATGTATAGTACAGGAAATCCTCACGTTACAGTGCTTCACTCTACAGTGTTTCGCTAATGAAGTGGTTTCCCTTTACACCCACTCTTCATTTATTCACACTTCCTACAATAAATGTATTCACCACTCACTATATTATTATAATCATGGGGGAAGCGCTAAATTCATAGGATTATAGTGCATGTGGAGGGGGGGATGGAAGGCATTCAGGCTTAATTCAGGGAACTGGAGCACAGATCCAATTCCCTAGCTCAAGAGCCCCTCACCAGCATCACGGAACCTCCCTTGAGGGGACCACTCACTACAGGCTAAGGATGTATGTAAGTAACGTGTGTACTGTATATGCATTTTTTTAGGCCTCGTTCTACTGCTCACTTAATATATGATAGTGCAAACATGTTACCAGTTTTTCATATGCATTTGAAATTGAGAAAATAAAAAGGCTATAATTCACATTATAGGGATTTTAGCTTTACAGCAGTAGGCTGCTGTATAAGTGGGGCCCCCCTGTACTATTTAGAAATAAATCAGCCTTGATAAATTTAAATTTTAACAAAAAATCATTAGACGTTTGAAGTATGCAATAAATTCAAACCTACTGGAACACTTACCATGTACTGTAATCATACACTATTATCATGTTGCCTTTGATTCAATGATGATGAATGCATTTCCTTTTTTTTTTTTGGGGGGGGGGGGAGGAAAAAGAGGCCAGTCTATTCCTTGGATCAAAAGCCTATCACTGGCATGAAGGAACCTCCCTTAAAGGGATCAAGATCCCATCACCATCAGCAGGGCAGTCTCCATGAAGAGATCAAGGATCCATCCCCAGCATGAAGGCACCCTCCTTGAAGAGATCAAGAGTCCATCACCAGCATCAAGGCACCCTTCTTGAAGGGATCAAAAGTCCATTACCAGCATCAAGGCACCCTTCTTGAAGGGATCAAGAGTCCATCACCAGCATCAAAGCACCCTTCTTGAAGGGATCAAGAGTCCATCACCAGCATCAAGGAACCCTTCTTGAAGGTAAGAGCCCATCACCAAGGCACCCTTCTTGAAGGGATCAAAAACCCATCACCAGCATCAAGGAACCCATCACCAACATCAGGGAAACCATCACCAACATCAGGGAAACCATCACCAACATCAGGGAACCAATCACCATCAGGGAATCCATCACCAGCATCAGGGAACCCATCACCAGCATCAAGGCACCCATCACCAGCATCAAGGCACCCATAACCAGCATGAGGCACCATCACCAGCATCAAGGCACCCATCACCAGCATCAAGGCACCCATCACCAGCATCAAGGCACCCATCACCAGCATCAAGGCACCCATCACCAGCATGAGGCACCCATCACCAGCATCAAGGCACCCATCACTAGCATCAAGGCACCCATCACCAGCATGAGGCACCCATCACCAGCATCAAGGCACCCATCACTAGCATCAAGGCACCCATCACCAGCATCAAGGCACCCATCACCAGCATCAAGGCACCCATCACCAGCATGAGGCACCCATCACTAGCATCAAGGCACCCATCACTAGCATCAAGGCACCCATCACCAGCATCAAGGCACCCATCACCAGCATCAAGGCACCCATCACCAGCATCAAGGCACCCATCACCAGCATGAGGCACCCATCACTAGCATCAAGGCACCCATTACTAGCATCAAGGCACCCATCACCAGCATCAAGGCACCCATCACCAGCATGAGGCACCTATCACTAGCATCAAGGCACCCATCACTAGCATAAAGGCACCCATCACTAGCATCAAGGCACCCATCACTAGCATCAAGGCACCCATCACCAGCATCAAGGCACCCATCACCAGCATCAAGGCACCCATCACCAGCATGAGGCACCTATCACTAGCATCAAGGCACCCATCACCAGCATCAAGGCACCCATCACCAGCATGAGGCACCTATCACCAGCATCAAGGCACCCATCACCAGCATGAGGCACCTATCACCAGCATCAAGGCACCCATCACCAGCATCAAGGCACCCATCACCAGCATGAGGCACCTATCACTAGCATCAAGGCACCCATCACCAGCATGAGGCACCCATCACCAGCATCAAGGAACCCCTCACCAGCTGCAACCTTAACTAAACAAATACGGAAAACCTTGAAGCCACCTACTTGTCCACTACAGCCTCTCCGACGTCAATTTAGCCAAATTAAATTCAAAAATTGCCTTAAATCTTGTCAAATTTAGGAGAGCAGGTGAGAGTCCCGGTGTAAGCACATGGTAGGTTGTGTTGACAACAGAGTAATGATAGTAGTAGTAGCAACTTCTATTACCACCTCTGGTCACTTATATAGTCAATAGATGGCGCACGAATCTCATTTTGACATATAGATACACGTCGTATACTCACTTGAATATTTACAGATTACAGAGGTACGTAATGGGTCCAGGAACTGGACCCCAAAGTTTTGATAGTTGAACAAGGTACAAAGGTAATGAAGTCACAAGTTGCAAAGGTAATGAATCATGTAAGTACATTACCTTTGCGACTTGACTCAAGAAATCGTAATGACACGATTGCCTGTGGTGCCTGTGCTAACCTTCCTATGGTGTAGAAATATACCTAGTTGGATGAATCTTATTGTGGCTAGCTGGTCTAGTGGCTAACGCGACGGTCTGGAGTTTTGAGACTATGACCGCGGGTTCAATCCCGGCCGGGGGTATGGATGGTTTGTTTACCTTTGTGACTTGCTCAGCTATCGAAGCTTTGGGGAAGTCCCTGGACCCATTGTGTGCCTCTGTAATCTTTAGACTACTGCCCACAATAAACATTAAACTAAACTAACTCACCTGAATGTACTACTGTTGGATGAGGGGTAGGCACATGTCTTGTACTCCCCTACATGTACCACTACTGTTGGTAAAGGCCGGGGTAGGTCCATGTCTTGTACTTGACCTACATGTACTACTACTGCTCGTGAAGAGTAGGCACATGTCTTGTACTCACCTGCATGCATTACTACTGTTGGTGAATTCAAATTCAAATTAAAAGTTTATTCTCTATAAGGATTACAATGCTGAGTTTACAGAATTTGGTTATTGTGTGGTTTACATGTAGTAAAATAATGATTACAGAGTGTACCACTAGAACACCTAGCATGGCTAGGCATTTCGGGCAGACTTAGTTTAATTCTTAATTTTAAAATATTACAAATTATGAGGTAGGTTGGTATATGGCTAAGTGACTAAATACTAGATTGTGAGTTTAGCAATGTGAATGCTTTTGTTTTGGCACAGTATATAGTTTCAGTATTGGAGTATCACAGGATTTATTATTTTAAGATTGAGATTAATATTTCTGTTTATGGTCAAATGGGTGAGTGAGTGTAAGTGTGAACCACCAGGTGGTATTCGTGTAGTTAGTTGACGGGGTGTATCAGGGAGATAAGATGTTTTCTAATGGTAGTTTTGAAGGTGATGAATGTGTCTGCAGTTCTAGAGTTTTCAGGTAGGGTGTTCCAGATTTAGGGCCTTTGACATACATTGAATTTTTGTAAAGGTTTAGTCGGACACGGGGAATGTCGTAGAGATGTTTGTGTTTGGTGTTATGCCTGTGGGTTCTGTCACAACTATCAAGAAAGCGTTTTAGGTCAAGGTTGATACTGGAGTTTAAGGTCCTGTAGATGTAGATCGCACAGTAGTAAGTGTGGATGTACTGAACAGGGAGTAAGTTTAGATCTATGAAAAGTGGGAGGGGGGGTGTTGCCAGGGATGGGATTTAGTGATTATTCTTACTGCAGCTTTTTGTTGGGTTATTATTGGCTTTAGGTGTGTTGCTGCAGTTGATCCCCAAGCACAAATAGCATAGGTGAGGTATGGATAAATGAGTGGTATAGTGTGAGAAGGGCATTTTGCGGCACGTAGTGTTGTATCTTGGAGAGGATCCCAACCGTTTTGGATACTTTTTTGGTTATGTGTTGGATATGGGTGCTGAAATTCAGGTTGTTGTCAAGGTATGGGCCTAGGAATTTGCCCTCATTATGTCTGGTAATTTTTTTTTTGTATTTTATTTAAAACTCAGGTACAAAAATATATGGGTACATAATCAATATGTAACAAGATACAGGCAGTGAACAATAATCAACTGTGACTACACAAATACTGAAGAAGCACATATATAATGACAGAACTGGCTGCTGCACTCAAATCAAACACCGCTTGTACGTACTGTGCTTCACATGAAAATGTGGTCATATAAAAAACGATAGAACCTACCCAGTAATGCTTACACTTCCCCCCCCCCCCCATGAAAACGTGCCACTTTCACCTTAGATACACAGTGACAAATCTCTTATACTTATACATTTGTAAAAGCATTAAAAACTTCAATGACAAAATATATAAACACAATCAAGCCAGCTAAACGGCTGACACTATAATACAAGGAATGTCTGAACCTGATGGCTCACATCTACCATAGAACACAATCCACCCTACCCTCATATACCCTATGGTAATAATTAATATCGTGCACGGTGGTGGGTTTATGACACAACCCGCTGACACTTAAAACCATCCTCCCACATGCCTATTAACTGTGCTGCCGTCACCACTCATAACCACCAAACAGTCATTGATGTAATTAGCGTCTTATAATATATATCACCCTAAAAACACGCTATATACATAAACCTACCACAATAATAAATAAATTTACACATTATTCCCTCCTGCAGACAGATTATTTACATTGTCGGAGATAATCATACATCACATCCTACAGAGAATGGACAACATTAGACATCTAAAATAAATGACATGTGTTTCACATGCCCTGCTATTGAGAGATTACTTAAACCCTACCCCCCCCCAATAAAAACCTGTCCAGTTTCACCTGGCTATACAAGACAAAAACTCATTTACTTGAACATATATAATGAAAATGTGAAAAACATCTGTTTACAATATATAAGCAAAAACACCCCAGGCAAGATCTTTACATTATAACAAACCAAAAGTTCCACTAGTTAAAAAACAGGTAGGGAATGCCTCATTATTATGACAAGTTACATTGCTCATATATGGGTTTAGACATTATAATTACAGGTTAAATTATCCTTAAATTATTAACATGCTTATGTACATCCTTACAAAACATGAAGGAATCCTTAGATAAATTATAATCATGGGTGTTCACAATAACACCAAGACATTACTTGAATATCACATTGAATATCACCTCAACATCCTTCCTCACAACAATTCCACACACACTCACACAATCGACCTCTGCAACACCCCACAACTCCCCCCCCCCCGGGGAAGGCCAGCCCGTTCATGCCCCTGACCGCTTATAAAGACCATAAATCCCTCAAAAGAAAGTCCCTGTAGCCCTCCGAGAAATCCCTCTCCCACCTCCTACCATATATTTCCCTGTTGCGACACTTTGTTCTATAAAAGGATGCTGCTATGTGCCATCCACGTTCCTCCGCCCCTTTGTCTCTCATTGCCCATGATATATACACAAAATAAAACCATTAAGTAAGCCACGGGCCCTTTGAACCTTTTCCCAACCCCACCTACATCTAAACTGAGCGCTCTCAAAACCGACAACCCTTTCCCCCCCACATACCGGATTACTTTCCCTAACCATTCCCGCACAATCCCTAGGCTTTCACAAAAATAAACTGCATGAAAAAGCTGATTCATCTACCCCACAAACCTGACACTCCTCACCCTCCCTTATTCGCCTATTTCGTAAAACAACCCCTGACGGCAATATTCCGTGAAGAAACCTATACATTACCTCCCTCACGTGTGGCCGGATGCGAAACCCTTTTAATCGACCCCAAATGCCCTCCCATGCGTACATCGGAAACACCCCTCTTCCGTTGCCCACTCCCACCCTAGGCCATATCTTCCTCTCCATGAACCCTACCCGCATGTTTCCCCGGCTCTCTGACCATCATCAATAGACGCAACAACTCCTCACCATCTCTAAAATTTTGGGCCCCTTTCCCCACCATCTCCAAAGATCTCCCTGCAGCATCCCCAACCCTCCACTCCCTTCCCCCCGAGCCCTTAGCAACCCATGTTTCACATATCCCACACTTCAACCTTTTTCCAAAAAATTAACCCCAGCCCTCCCAAGGCCACCGGAAGTGTTACCACCTCCCTTTTCAACCAATCGCATCCCAAACCCAGATAAAACGGAAAACTCTGCTAAACCCAATCTCCGGACTTTCCCCAAAACACCAAAGGGTACAAAGCTGCCACATGCCATATTTTGCTGTACAAAAGCACATTAAACCCACAATGACCCTCTGGTGCAGCGTAAGATGTGTCGGCCTCAATCCTGACAATCTTCCCAATACCCTATCTACCACACCCTTTGAATTATTCTCCCTCGCCATCTGAGCATTACCCATATACACAACTCCACAAATTTTCACCCCGGTCCATGACCCCACCATCTCACCCCCCCACCCCCCGCCCTCCCGCCCATCCCATTCCCCAATCTCGTGAGCTTTGATTACCCACATTCACTGCCATACCTGTTGCCATCCCAAAACATCTATAACTCTCTCCAGACCCTCCAATCCCTCCCTCCCACTCACTAGGACAGTTGTGTCATCAACATAACCTATAATACCGGGGACCCCACCTCGTATGTCCTCCCTTACCCCCTCCTGTATGCACCTTCCCACTTCCCTATAAAACGGATTCTGTAAACATGCAAATAAATATTTGTGACAATGGGCAACCCTGCCTCAATCCCCTGCCCATTTTCACATGCAACCCCACCCTCCCATTAATCTGTACACACATCCCAGCTCCCCGATATAAAGTATTGCCCAATTCACAATGTCCTCCCTGAACCCCTGCCGCTCCATGATTCTCCACAGAGCCTCCCCTCGACACTGTCATATCCCGTTCTCCAATCCAACACCAATCCCCTCATTCCCCCTCTTGCAGACCCTAAATAAACCTTCTAATAACCCCATGCCCCACATACTTTTGATCCCCCCCCAGAATCCCATATTGACCCCTCACTATTACCTTTCCAATGACCTTTTATACGATTTCCCAAAATTTTTGCAAAAAGTTTGTAGTCTGCACACATGAGTGATATCATCCAGTAATCTCTCACTGTGCACTGACTTTCTCCCTTTGGCACAAAAAAAAACAAAGCGCTGTCCCCCTGCAAAGGTCCCAACGCACCCCTCTTTCATGATATTAAATAACTGAAATCACAAAAATCTTTTAATACTCCCCAATGCTGTATTTTTTAAACTCCGCAGGCACCCATCTATCCCCGGCGCCTTACCCCTGCTCATACTCATTAAAAGCCGTCCACACCTTTCCCTCCACAAAAAGGCCCCTGTAACTGTTCCCTGCCCTTTCCCTGTCCAGAAACACCCGCACCCAACCCCGTCTCTCTTAAAGCCCCTCTCTCACACCCACACTCCTCACATGTGAAATAAGAAAGCATCAACATACCCTCCCTTTCCCCTCCGTCGTCACCAAATTTGTCCCTCCCTATACCCTCGAGTCCTCAAAACTCTAAAACCCACCATTTCCATTGCAACGCGCCGGCACCCCTGCCCTCGCAGGACACACACCGATGGTCTATCACCCCACATGACCTCCTCCAACCCCCTAAAACCCTTGCCACACAAACCTCTCGTTTTGCACTTCCATTAGGCGTTCCTTCACTCCCTCTATGTCAGCCACTGGGGCTCCCATCCCCCCCTTCCTCTCTCATAATACTCCCTTAACGCCCCTCAAGATACCTAATAAGCCCATAAGCCAACTGATTCTCGTGCCTTCCCTGTCGGACAAGAACTCTCGAATCCTCTCTCGCCGTCACATCCCAACCCTCTCAACACATCCCCATTGACTTCCATCCCCTCCCATAAGCTTTCCACCATTGGGGCAAAAGGACCCTCCCCTCAACATCTTGAAGCAACCGAAAATTCCCAATTTCCAATAGCCTTA